CCGCAGGAGCAGGAGCAGAGGGGAAAGAGGGCACTTCCTGTTTCTCCTTTCCTTAAATATGAGTCTCCTTACTATGTCACTTCCTGCCTGGATCATCACTTCTTACTACATTTTCCAGAATCCTCCTCGACTCCTAGTCCTGCCTAACTTACTTGCTGTCTCATTGGCCAAACAGTATTTTATTTAACTATCAATAAGATAAACATACATCGTACATTCCCCATCACCAGTCTGAGTGGATTTGTGTGCAGGGTGAGCCATGTGGCTCTAGCTTTCTTCTTCCACACTTGAGAATCCAGTTCCCTCCTTGCCATTTGCGGAGCCTCTATCACGGCGTTTTTGACACCTGGGTCAATAATTAGGTGATTGTCGTTGTTATTGTCTGTGTCCTCTGCTGCTGTCCATTGGTCTACATGTCTTTCAAGACATTCTTGACACTAATTTGAGGCCAGGCACTATGGTATTTCCAGCGTTTCTCTCTCGGCTTTGGCTACTTGGAGTTGTTTGTGCTTCCAGACAAATGTTATGATTTTTGAGTTGATTTTTTTATGATTTCTGAAGCATGTTGTTGGGATTTTGATGGGTACGGAGTTCAATCTATAGGTCACTTTCAGTAACATGTACATCTTCACAATATTAACTCTGCCTACTCATGAGCAGTGGCGACCTTCCCATTTTCTAGTGTCTTCTATCTCTTTTTCAGAGTCTTAAAGTTGCCTGTAGGGATCTTTTACTCTCTTTGCTACAGTTATTCCTGTTTTGTTTTTATTAACTTTGAAATGTTATTTTTTAATGTATATGGTGTTTGCCTGCACGTATGTCTGTGCACAGAGTGCATACTGGTGCCCACAGAGGCTGGAACAGGCACTGGACCTCCTGGAACTGGAGTTACAGGTGGTTGAGTCATTTATGCAGATGTTGGGAATTTGAAGCCCTGGAGGAGCAGCCAATGCTCTTAACTGCCGAGCCATCTCTCCAGCCCCGATATTTTACTTTTTAAAAGTTATGGTGAGTGGGTCTGATTTCTTTCTCAATGAGTTTGTTACCAGCACATAGAAAAGCTACAGGCTTGATACGATGCTTTGTGTCCTGTGCTTTACTGAAAGTGTTTATATCAGCTGTGAGTGTTTGACAGGGTCTTTTAAGTCTTCTTCTTCCGCCTCCTCCTTTCTGTATAAGGGTTTTGCTCATATGTGTGGCTGTGCAGCACATGTGTGCATGGTGCCCATTGAGGCTAGAAGAGGGCGTCAGGTCCCCAGGAACGAGAGTTACAGATGGTTTGTGAGCTGCCATGTGGGAGTTGGGGATGGAACCCAGGTCCTCTGGAGGAGCAGCCAGTGCTCTTAACGGTTGAGTCATCTCTCCAGCCTCCTTTAGGGTCCTGTAAGCATAGTCAGTGCACTCACAAGTCATTCTCAGTAGATAGTTCTGTTCCTGCGCATTGTGTCCCCTGTGACCCGTGTCCTCATGCATTGTGTCCCGTGTGACCTGTGTCCCCATGCATTGTGTCCCCCGTGTGACCCGTGTCCCCATGCATGTGTCCCGTGTGACCTGTGTCCTCATGCGTTGTGTCCCCCGTGTGACCCGTGTCCCCATGCATGTGTCCCCCGTGTGACCTGTGTCCTCATGCATTGTGTCCCCATGTGACCCGTGTCCCCATGCATTGTCCCCCGTGTGACCCGTGTCCTCATGCATTGTGTCCCCCCGTGTGACCCATGTCCTCATGCATTGTGTCCCCTGTGTGACCTGTGTCCCCATGCATTGTGTCCCGTGTGACTCGTGTCCTCATGCATTGTGTCCCGTGTGACCCGTGTCCCCATGCATTGTGTCCCGTGTGACCTGTGTCCCCATGCATTGTGTCCCGTGTGACTCGTGTCCTCATGCATTGTGTCCCGTGTGACCCGTGTCCCCATGCATTGTGTCCCGTGTGACCTGTGTCCCCATGCATTGTGTCCCGTGTGACTCGTGTCCTCATGCATTGTGTCCCGTGTGACCCGTGTCCCCATGCATTGTGTCCCGTGTGACCTGTGTCCTCATGCATTGTGTCCCATGTGACTCGTGTCCTCATGCATTGTGTCCCCGTGTGACCCGTGTCCCCATGCATTGTGTCCCATGTGACCCATGTCCCCATGCATTGTGTCCCCCGTGTGACCTGTGTCCTCATGCATTGTGTCCCCCGTGTGACCTGTGTCCCCATGCATTGTGTCCCTGTGTGACCCGTGTCCCCATGCATTGTGTCCCCCGTGTGACCTGTGTCCCCATGCATTGTGTCCCTGTGTGACCCGTGTCCCCATGCATTGTGTCCCCCGTGTGACCCATGTCCTCATGCATTGTGTCCCGTGTGACCCGTGTCCCCATGCATCCACTCTGTGTTGGCTTCCTCACCCTTACTCACTGGTCTCAGTATAGTTAACCAGATCAGTGGTCAGTGCTTAGGGCCAGGTGACATTATTTAGCCTAACGGTGTCCCCGGTGGGCAAGGGGAACTGCGTGGCGTTCAGAATGCCAAAGAGGGACTTGGAAGCAATCGCATCAAGTGAAAATTTAGTGTCCTTGACATTTGAGCAAAAAAAAAAAAAAAAAATGTCAAATGCCGAGACCCCGGAGGATCAAATCTTTGTTCCATAGATCTATGAAAAAGGAAAAAGAAACCCCTGTCACATTCACAGTGGCATCACACACCATGCCAGTTCCAGCCACAGTGTTCGGTAAGTGGTAGCTTGAAGGCTTTGTGGCGGTTTCACGTATGTGTTGGGCATCTTGGAAGACCCGCACCCCCGCTGTAGATCAAGAGGGAGTGTTGTAGGATGGATGCCCACCCCCTGGGCTGTAGTGCCCTCCTCACTTGCCCTCTCTTAGACCCACTGCCTGGAGAATTGGGCCTTCAGTGCAACCAAAACCGGAGACTATGGATGGATGAAGCTTTATCACTGGCTATTCGTGTGCCAGGTGAGGTGCTCTGACAGCCACAAGGGGGCGGCAAACACACACGCCTCTGAATATTACCCTCATGCGGCGGCATCTTCTCCAGAGGGATGGATGCCAGCACCCCTTTCCTTCCTGGGTCTCCTCTCCTCTAGTCCCCGAAGCTGCCTGAGGGGAGGCTTGGGTTAGAGCCCCAAGACAGCAGAGCCGTGATGGCTGCTACCCTTATAGGCAAGTACAGGAAGGCAGCCCGGGACTTGCCAGATGATAACCTCCTTGAGGTCAGGGACTCTTCTCAGAATAGTCTGTCTTTGGACAAGTCCCTCATGAGAAGGTCCCCAGAGACCACCATGAGGACACCTGAGGCCCTGTCAACAGCAAGAGAATAGGCCAGATGGGTGCTGGAGATCCCTTGTTCTCAGCCGGTGCCGGGGAGGAGGCATAGCTGACACACAGCTGTCTTCACAGACAGCCTGGCTTCCCAAATAAAGTGGGAATCTCCCAGAATATAGTACCAGGAAGGCGTGTGTCCTCTGAGGAGTGGGAGGACATCTTTGTCGCTATTCTGCGGCAGTCAGGTCTGTGATGGACACCAGATGGGTTCCAGAGCTCCAGTGTAGCCCCACTTAGGGACTCCCAGCAAGAGGTGTGGGGACCAGGAGGCTCCTGCTCTAGCAGTCTCCTAGCAGCTGTTCACACCTCCCTGCCATTGTTCTGGGTGCTTGTGTCACGTTGCCTGGGACTCTGGCTGGGTCAGGGCAGAGGTTCTGGATCACCAAGAAGGCACTGGCGACAAAGACGGTAAATAAAGTTCCCACTGGGCCCAGCTGGTAAGACCCAGGCTCAATGTCTGCTCCTTCTAAGGTGGGAGGGGCAGTGCCCTGGGGTTCATGGGGAGGGGATATGAAGACAGAGTGGGAGTTGGAGAATGAGTTGCCCAGGCTGGGTGTGGGAGCTTCCTCAGTCTGAAGCTGCAACCCGCAGGAGATCAGGCAGCCTCTTGGGTTTCCCTAGTGGGATCTTGGGTCTGGGCAGCCATTTTTGGCAAAGAGCATCTCCCTGCTGTCCCGTGGGGAACAACCTGAGGTAAAGCATACTGTCAGGGAGAGGTCTTTCAGGGCAGAGCAGGAAGCCCTGCTCTGGTGGCACAGAGCCAAGCACGGGTGAGCCTTCCCTCTACCTCAGCCAGATTACCATGGGACCAACACGGCTTTGCAGATCTCACTGGGCTCATCTGGAGGCCTGACTGGGCCTGGGATACTCAGACCTTCTCACAGACAACTGCTGGTCACACAAAGTCTGTTCCCAGTGGCCTGTGTGCTGTGAGTGGCTCAAGGGGTGTTCGTAATCTTCTGCAGTCTGCTTAGAGCAGCACGACCTTGATTACTGGCGGCATCTAATTGCCTCTCTGCCTTGTCAGCAGGGCCAGGTTCAGAGGGCCCAGCAGGACCCTCCACGATGCCACGATGCCGCAGAGGCACCTGGAAACTCTCTTTTTGAAGGGAAGCCCCATGTGGCTGTCTAAGAAACACATGGCATTTGGTCCAGACACTCATAGAAATAAAACCATTTATCATCAAAGCCATGTAGCTTAACACAGGTGTGCAGTGGGGTGAAACATTTGGGGAGAGAGGTGACTCCGTGGGGGGTTAGGTCTGGGCCCCTGGGTAGTCATCTCCCCTCAGCATGACTGAGGAGGAACCAGGGCTGCTGCTAAAGCCATGTGGGTAGCTAGCGACATCACTGCAGCTCAGCCAGGGACACGAACTTGCGGATGTCCTGGGCTAGAAGCTTGGGCTCTTCAAAGGCAGCAAAGTGGCCCCCACGTTCCATGTAGGAATAGGAGATGAGCTTGGGGTACTTGACCTTCACCCACTTTTCTGGAGCATGCAGTATCTCTGAAGGGAAGGCAGAATAGCCAGTGGGCACAAAGACCTTCATCCTGTGTGGAGAAAGGGATGAGGTTGAGGCGCTATGTTCTCGTTTCCAGAGGAGACTCCTATGGCCGGAGGAGGACTCAGCTGGGTCATATGGAGCCATAGTGACAAGGGCTTACACTATTCTCCTATTACAGTCCCTACTTTTCACTCACTAAGGACCCTGTCTGCCCGGGAGGACCATGGAACAGGTCATGTGAGCCTCTAAACATCCACTTTGCTAGTCTGTTTCCCAGCTGTCACCCGAAGGTCTCTGTATAGACCTTGCGAATCCCAATGCCTCTGTCCCAGCAGACCAGGATTCTGAGAACATCTGATGTCCTTCTTATCTTGACATCACACCTTCTTTGGATTAAAGGGCAAATTGTTCCCGACCCCACCCCCTCTCCCTGCTCAGCCAGACTTACCTCTCATGCCTATGGACCATGATGCCCTGGCCCATGTTCTCCTTGTAGAAGCGCTGGGAGGAGACAATGGTTCCTGTTGTCCAGTAGATCATGATGTTAGTCAGCAGATCTTCCAGGGAGAACTTCCTGGAAAGCACACAGGATGCTCAGGCTCAGTGAAAGCTACGCCTTACAAGAACAAAGGGCTGCCCCCTGAGGCTGGGAACATCAGGTAAGGCCTCGCTCAGGGAAGGGGTGATGAATTATCGTTGCCACTCAAGGGTGTGGCTTTCCACAGCTCCAGCAATACCTGGTAGCTGTCTGCCTTATAGAAGGGCCTCTGTTTTGGTTGTCTACTGCAGAACGCTGCCATCCCTTCTGTGACACTTGCTGACGTCAGTGATTCAGCCCTATGGTCTTCTGAGTCTTCACTGTGACTACCTGAAGCCCCAAGTGGCCTCCTAACCCTGCTGACCCCGTATGATATTTACCCAAGCTCTACCTCTGTGGATCCAGGCTCTGAACGGACACCGCCACTTGGATGTCTTACAGTCTGTCCCTCAATGTGACCATGCCAAAAATGAGCTTGGCATCACTGCTAAGCTCCTCTGACAGCACTGTGTCAGAGAGACACACAGTGCACCCTCACAGCTCTGCCCTTTCCCATTGGTTTTCATAGAGCTGACAGCAGGGCAGTGGGGCCTCACCTCTCTAGGCCTCCGTCCTCCAGGTCACGGTATTCTGACTTGGTCCAAGTAGAGAACTTTTCTAAGATGTAGGCAGCCAGGCCCACGGGTGAGTCATTCAGAGCACAGCCTGGATGGGAAGGAGAAAGAGAGGGATTGAAGCCTGGTCCTGGAGAGTATGACTCTAGGATGGAGGTGTGTGGGTGCCACAGAGTGGAAGCAGGCCCACCCATGCACCCCATTTCTGGAGAGCTGGCCTGAGTGGCCTCAAATAGCAAATGGAGATCAATATTCCCCTATAATCTCGTGGGATTCACAGACTATCTGGGCTGTATCTGGGTCAAAAATAGGATAATCGGTTACCAATAAATATTAATGCTTCCATGAGCTAAAACACTGTTCCAGTCAGGGGACAGGGGTAGGTCAGTGGAGCAGCACAAGCTTAGCATCCTTGAGGCTCCAGGTACTGCGTCCATCACTAAACATCACGGCTGGGGTAACAGCATAGAACAAATGCATAGCTAGCATTGAATACCATGGCTGGGGTAACAACATAGAAGCCTCGCAAAAGTCAGGTTGAGCAAAAGGAGCAAGAATGCAGAGTCCTTGCTGTGAGGTTCCAGTCGGAAGGACAACAGCACCCTAGCACACCTAGTTAGAGGAGCGAGGGGGACACATTCGGGTCCTGAAAGAGGCCATCGCCTGTGTCTGGACACATGGGACCTGCATTTACAACATGTATAAGCGACAGCTTTGGCAAGCCCCTCTGCAGACTGCAGCTGGAAGGCACGAGAGCTGGACACCGACTTCCCTGGCTTTTTTTCTTTTGCATTGTTTTCATTTCTAGTCATATGATGAACATCTGTTTCACAGCTGGAAAGGAAGCCTGACCTTATGAAGTGCTATCACGATCAGGAGCTGCCCTTGCTGTGAGTACCCGACTGCCATGGGAACCGTGGGAGGCTCTGAAATGAGCAAAAGGATTCCCAGGTGTCCTCTGAGTGGACTCGAGGGACATCTAGAGGACACCTAACTGTCCTTAGAGCTCCTAGGGCAGCGGTTCTCAACCTGTGGGGTATGACCCTCTCGGGGGCCGAGTGACCCTGTCACAGAGGTCGCATATCAGATAACCCTGTATATCAGATATTTACATCACGATTCATAACAGTAGCAAAATTGCAGTTATGAAGTAGCAATGAAGATAATTTTATGGTTGACGGTCACCACAACATGAGGAACTGGATTAAGGGATGGCGGCATTAGGAAGGCTGAGAACCACTGTTCTAGGGAAGCCCCACCGTCCCTTATCTTTTAGCTATTTTCCAGCTCTGTAAATGATAGAAAACCAGGAAAATACAAACGATTCTGGTCTATCAAGAAGAAATCATTTCCACCCCAATGGTAATTTTTCTTCTATTCTGGGGATTGGACTCAGGGACTGAACAGTCTCAAGGCAATCTCCCACTGAGCTGCCTCACCGACATGTTACTTATGTTTACTCTGAGATCGGGTCTTGGACTAAGCCACCCAGGAGGCCTTGACTTTTTGGATGGTCTTGCTGCAGCCTCCAGAGCAGCTGGGATGTGTGTGTCACCAGGCCTCGTATTCTGTGGGTGTGAATGAGTTCTGTATCCATTAGAAAACAAATTTGTATTCTAAATACCTTTAAACAAACTATTGTTTATTTGATCATCTTATCATTTTCCTTATGAATTAAAATTTTTAGTTTCTTTTCTTTGTTTTTCTTTCTTTCTTTCTTTCTCCTCCTCCCCCCCCTTCTTTTTTATTTTTAAGAGTCTTGCTATATAGCCCAGGATGGCTTGGAACTCACTGTGTAGACCAGGCTAGCCTAAAACTTGTGGGACTCTCCTAGCTCTGCCTCTCAGGTATGGGATCAAAGCTGTGCTGAGTGGCAGATCACTTATCTAGCATGTGTGATGCCCTGGGTTCAATTCCCAGTATGGAAAACAGAGTCCTGTGACCCTTGCTAGGGCTTTCTTGCTGTAAGCTGTGTTCTCAGGGGCAGTGGAATTCCCTCTGGGTCTCCCTGCCCTGGTGAGCTTACCCACGGTGTCTGGCTTGGTGGCCTGGATGTGTAGGTAGCCACTCTCCCTCATGATGCTGTAGAAAACCTTCTCCTTGAAGGGGTACAACAGCTCGATATCCCTCTCAGTGTAGCCGAGAAATCTCCCGAAACGCGGGCCCAGGAGAGGGGTCAGGGTGTAGAGACTTCTTGAGATAAAAGCCATGTTCAAGTGCAGGCCTTTCACGTGGCTGCGGGCAGAGGAATGGACACAGGTGAGCCTGGCTGCTATGAAGGATACTGGAGAGAACATGGGGAGGAAGAGGCAGGCCACGGGACTGGAGAGCCAGACTCCTTTAGCACCTGACCCCTGGGGACATCCACTGAGCTGGAGGTGAACGGTAGTGTAGGAGGAGGAGGAACTTCTAGAGTATTCTGGTCAGGGCTGTTAAGGATCTTGTCCAGCATGGTCTAATACTGACCTCTTCCTCTGCTTCAGACAGCCACCACAGTTACCCCAAGGGGAAGACAGGGACAACATGCCCTCTTCCACCTAATGAGGGAAGATCTGTTTCCTCAGCCCTGGGACCACAAGCATCTGGGCCTGCGAGGACCTGGATGAGGGGAGCCCCAAGTCTCAGACATTGCTGGAAGGGGCCTAGGGTGAACAACCCTGTGCCCTGCGTAGATGCTGTATACCCACAGATCCTGGAGAGGCTGTGCCGTGCCCGTTTGACTTCACTGACTCACTTGGGAACCAGCTGGGCCATGTTGGTGCAGATGAGGGAGCCCCAGTCCCCGCCTTGAATGTAGAATTTCTGGAAGCCCAGCCTCGACATCAGCTTGTAGAAGATCCTAGCAGTGGCCACCGTATTGAAGCCTGAGTATGAAGGGGACAGACAGGGTGTTCTGTACAGTCTGGAGAATCATCTATGATAGCAGTACTTTGGACTTTGAATGAATGAGTTTGTTAAGTACAGTAGCAACAGCAGCTGTGGGGACATATTGTTTATGATTTATTAAAGCCACTGGAGATCAAAATAGCAAAGCAGCCATACCAGTTAGCCATAGAAGCCAGGCACACACCTTTAATCCCAGGACTCAGGATTAAGAGGTAGACGGCCTCTGAGTTCAAGACTACCCTGGCTACCTGAGAGTGAATCAGAGCTCATACCTTTAATCCCAGGATTTGAGAGGTATTAAAGGTCTGCGATTAGTCTCTAGCCATGTTAAGGAGGGCACAGCAGTCTGAGTGAATCTGAGGAGCAGTGAAGTCGGGAGCAGTCTGAGGATCACCCCTTTGGTTTGTGCTGAGGTAGAGGTAAGGGCTACTGGCTTGGCTGCTTTGCTTTTCTGATCTTCACCTTGAAACTTCAACACCAATATCTGTCTCTGGGTCTTTTATTTTTCATGCTACAAGTGGCAGCATATAAAACAGCAAAACATCATCCAATTAGAAGTATCCAACAGGCTGGAGATGAGTGGAGGCTCCAGCCTGAGAAAGCAGGCAATAAAGAGACCTTCCAAACATTCTGCAGAAATCAACGAGGGACGGCGAGGCGCTCAGCCAGAATTCCCAGTGCAGAGCTTTCTCTCCATGGACGAGTGTCCCACTGTAGGAACTTTTCATGCCATAGAATAAACATACCAGCACCTGAACTCTGCCCTCTAGCTGTCCCCAAGGACGCAATGTTCTTAATACTCTTAGCTGCTTGCTGTTTTTCCCTCTTCCCATTACACAGTCAGGGGCCAGCCTAACCCAGACTAAGATGAACACGCTTGAGTCTGAAATAGGGGGTCAGGGTAGGGGCGTCCGCATCTTTGCTTCCAGAGCCAGCTTCACTGTGAGCGCGCACAGCACACAACAGTAAGCATCACACATGGGAGCCACGGTAGTGCTCAGGTGCCTGTGCAATTCCCTAGACCTTTCTTTTCCCAGCTCAGGACAAAGTAGCTAGCTCACAGGAGGCCAGAAGGAAGAAGCCTTGGTACCCTGAGGATGACCCAGGCCATAGGGCAGTGTGTCTGGTCCTGCCCCCTTGGGACACAGCAGACACTGAAAGGTTTGTGAGCCACACACCACAGGGGTCTGGGTGGTGCTGCCCCTAGCAGGTACTGGTGAGAACAGAGCACAGTCTGGGATGTGCCACCCTCTGGCACACTGTACCTTTCTTGCTGGATGCCTCTGAGAAGCCATAGCCAGGAATGGAGGGACAGATGACTTCAAACACATGCTCGTCACTCAGGCCATTGGCCTTGGGGTCAGTCAGCAGCGGGATGATCTTGTAAAACTCATAGAAGGAGCCAGGCCAGCCGTGCACCATCAGCAAGGGCTTTGGGGTGTGGCCTGAGGGCAGCTGGGGAGGCTTCACGTGGATGAAGTGGATGTCCAGCCCTGGGGACAGAGCACAGTCAGGGTGAGGGAAGGAGGGTCCTGCTGGGGAGGCTGGGGTCCGGGGACCTTGTTTCCCTGTGTGCCAGTCCTGGAAGAGAATGAGTGCTGTGCCCTTGGTGGCCCCAAGGCACTGATGACAGTCATAGCAGTCTCGCTGTGGGGTGCTTACCGTGTGCTCTGGCTATGTGCATGTCCTCGCTGACCTCCCAGTCACCCTGAGTGTGCTCTCTGGAGGGCAGAGATGGTCTGGGAAGGCACTTCCGGGTTCCCATTGCCCAGGACAGAGCCTGGCTTACATCAGGGCTTTGAGAAGCCCATGAGCCCAGCAACAATGGGTTGTACTCAACAGAGCACTGCAGTAGAGTCGTGTGAGGTGACTGCCATCCATGTGCTCATCTAACGTACAAAGATGCTCATTGCCATGGAATTAAATGACCACGTCATGGCCATGGTATAGCTCAGTTTTACCAACAGTTTTATGCGTAGCATATTCACTCACATGGGGTTACGTTCTTTTAAAAATTGAAGTATTTTTATTACTCTTCAACAATTCCATATGCATATCTATATATAAATGATTCCTGATAGTATCCCCCCTCTGCAGGAATTCCCCTCTCATACTCATGCCTTTTTTTCTAACTTATTGAGTCCAGTTAATGCTGTCTGTATGTGCATGGACAACCGACCATCAAGCTACAACCGCAAAGAAAAATGACTTCTCCACCCCCAGCAGCCACCAACAGCCAACAGCTTCTCATCTAGGGGAATATCATGTTGGGGTATTGACTAGCTCAACCACGTTCATGAATGCTACCGCCATTATATAGCTTTATATTGTGATGAACCTGCCAGAAGTTGAAAACTTTGGAAGTCAGAAATGTATTAGTCAGTGGCATATCGCTTGTCTACCATACATGAGGCCCTGTGTTCAGTGCTCACTCCTACGTGTGCGCATGTGCACACACACACACACACACACACACACACACACACACACACACACAACATACCCAACCTGTCAAACATGAAAGCTCACCCTCCTCAGCTCCCTGAAGAATAGCGTGTCTTCTCTGTGGTGAGGGTCTGTGTGACAGTGTTGCCTAGACAGTCACGAGCCTGAGACAAGCACTGAGTTGTAGTTCCTACAGAATGCATACTGACTTCACATTAAGGTAAGGGAGAAAAACCATGGCTGACACCATCAGGGCCAAGGACTTTATGGAACTCTGTATGCAGAGACTTGTTCTCAGGGACAACTTCCGAAGTCACACAACACAATCATCCAGGAGTAGGCCAACAGAGCAATTTTTTTTCTTTGTGATACAGATATTTAATTTTTTCTGCTATGAACAGATATAAAATGTATAAGTTTTCTACATGTATTGGCTACAGCATTTCTTACCATTTAGTTGTAAAACTAAACTCTTTGAAGGTTTTATTGTACACCTCTGCATGCCTTGCCCGAATGTATGTCTGTATGCCACATGAATACCTGGTGCTTGCAGAGGTCAAAAGAGGCCACTCCGTCTCCTGGAACTGGGTTACTGATGGCTTTGAGCCATCCTGTGGGTGGCAGAGAACCCTGGTTCTCTGCCAAAGCAGGAAGTGCTCGTAACTCTGAGCCCGTCCCCCACACTAAACTTTTTAAGTTCTCAAAATTATTTGTCGTGACATATTATTTCTGATTTATTAAAGCTTTCCTGAGGATTCAGAAAGCAAAGTCAGTCACAAGCCACAGAAGCCAGGCACACACCTCTAATCCCAGCAACCAGAAGCTAGGAGGTGGTGGTGCACACCTTTAATCCTAGGACTCAGGATTAAGAGGTAGACAGATCTCTGTGAGTTCAAGGCCACCCAGATCTACACAAGATTGATCCAGTCCTAAAGAGAAACAGCTCACACAAAGATGCCTCAGCACGTGGGATCACAAGCCTTTAATCCCAGCATTAGGGAGGTGAATAAAACAGGAACAAGGAGTCAGTATGAGGCATCCATTCTCCAGCCACATTGAAGATAGGAAGGCTCAGTCAGTATCAAGGAGGAATAGGAAGACACTCAGTCTCAGAATTCTCTAGCCACCCTGACGAGAGGCAGCAGTTTGTGAAGAGCTCATGCCTGGATCAGCCCTTTCAGCCTGAGCTTGAGGTGAGAGCTAGTGGCCTGCTGCTTTGCATTTCCAATTTTCAGCTTGAACCCCAATATCAGTCTCTGGGTCTTTTATTTTTCCTTTTACAATTATTCACTAAAAATTCCATCCATTCACTTTGTGGTTCTTGGGTTTGATCCCAGGCCCTACATATTCTAGGCAAATGGCCGCCATTGAGCCACACCCCTGGCCCTCAGCACTGTCAGTATGGCTGTAAAACACAGGCAGTCCCTAGAATTTACTCATTCGCCATTACACAGCAGTCCACACATTCTTAGCGTCTCCCCAGGCCAGTTAGTCCATTTCTGTGAGTTTCTGTTTGAGATGCCGCATTCAGGTGGAACCCTGAAGAATCTGCTCTTTTGTGAATGACATCTGCCACCCAGGACAATATTATAAATATCCTTAAGGTTTGTTAGTCTGTGGTGTCACACTGCAGCATTTTTTCACTTTTGTAACTGAAGGGACCAGCTCCCCTTTCGGCAGCCATAACAGCCGAACACGTGCTTGCCATAAACTTGCCTTGGTCACTTAGCGGTCAGATGACTGCGTTGTGAAAAGGAACCAATCAGAAGTTAGCTGGTGGCGCTATGCTTTACGACTCTGGGTGTGCTTTATGGACAAGCACACAGCAATGACGCACATAGCATAACAACCAGTTGACCAATCAACACAGGGCAAACCCTCCAAGCCTGGAGGCACACCAATAGTAAACCTGTGCATACCCCTAGACACTCCCCTTACACTGCCCTATAAAGATCTGTACGCAGCGGGTTCGAACTGTCTTTTCTAGCCATTCGCCATGGCGGGTGGGTGAAAGACCCGAGCTAACATGGGGTTAGCTCGTTAAATTACAATAAAGCCTCGTGCAGTTTGCAGCAAGTTCTCGAATCTGCCTGGTGATTGGGGTGACCGCAGTCGTGGCCTGGGACCCCGGATACCTGAGTTTTCCGGGGGTCTAACAGTAACCTGTTACCACTGTTCCAGGTTGAGCCTCAACTTTTGATTCCAAGGGCTAGGATGATAGACAACCACACCAGCTTCATTTTCTCCCTCTTAAAGCTGTATGGCATTGGGCCACACATTTGGGGCTGTGCAACTCAGGGTTTCTTGGCTTTAATCTGACCTCATTTTTAGGCTCTTTCCCAGGGCCTGACTTCTTAGGCTTCCATTAGCTCACATTTCCAAGACAACACTTCTAGAACATATCTTCCTTTTAACAAAACCAACAAGCCATGCTCATTCTATTTTGGAACATGGTATTTCCCACTCAGCAGTATCTCCCAGTGTCCTTCTCTATTGCTAAACTTAATGCCATCTTCAAGCTTATTTTAATGGATATTTTTTATGATTTTTTAAAGATTTTATTTATTTATTATGTCTTCTGCCTGCATGCCAGCAGAGGACACCAGAGCTCATTCAAAGTGGCTGTGAGCCACCATGTGGTTGCTGGGAACTGAACTCAGGACCTCTGGAAGAACAGTCAGTGCTCTTAACAGCTGAGCCATCTCTCCAGCCCATTTTTTTTTTTTTTATGATTTTTGACTAAACAGGATGGTATGAGGTTATTTTTAACTCAAACTTTAGTATCGCATCATGTGACTATAAAATTAGAAAAAGGAAATACACATTCACACAGGCTCTTCTCATGTAAGGATGGCAGAATTCAGATCCGAGATGGGCACGCACAGACAGCAATACTGGCCTTTATCTGTGAGTCCCTTGTAACAGTTACATCATAAAAATTTAAAGTTATTATTATCATTATTAATTCTTATTAGTATTAGACACAGGGCCCACTGCCTTGCACATACTATCACTGGGCCAGATTCCAGCCCGAAGACATTGTTAAAACCCTGTAGTGTTGAGGCGACCTAATGGGTCCATTTCCTTTGTGAAAGAAAAGGCTTTGGTTGGGTCTCCTATAGGACAACAGTCTTTGAATCCAAAGTGAGTGCAGGAAGGTAGTGCTGGGTCTGGAGAGAAGCAGGGCAGTCATGCCTGCACCTCTTAAGTGCTGGATTACAGGCATGCAACACTGTGGCTGGCTGTCCATACGCAGGGTCTTCAAGAGGTGAGTGAGTGTTCAGTGTTATTCACAACAGCCCAAGGTGTCCTTGGGTGGGTGAGTGGATAAAGAAGATGTTTCATTCGTGCTATGGGATAATATTCAAGCTTGAACAGTAGGAAGAGGGCAGGGTACAGGGATGAGCAGTGGCGTTCTGGCCTCGCATGCTGCAGTCACTGGCTCCACCCTCAGTACCTGCAACCACAAAATTCTGACATGCTGCAGAGGAGATGAAGACAGAATAAGAAGCCAGGCACAAATGGGAAAACAACTTGCACGAGTGATTTAGAGTAGATGAATTCACAGAGACAGGAAGGTGGGCTGTGAGGGCTGGGGTAGAGCGAGCAGTGTGGGCTGGGGTGTGACAGGGGCAGAGTTTCAGTTTGGGATGGTGGCAAACTTCTGGAAACACCCTGCCTAACAATGGATCCTCTTCATGCCATGGAACAGCACACTCCTGCCACCGAGCCACTGACCTGTGCGCTTAAAGATCACCAAGGCCAGTGAGTTTTATATTACATGTATGCTACCACAATAAAAATAAACGGGTTAAAAATCAACACCACGGTTTAATTTTGCTAAAGATTCTCTGCTTAATCAAGTGTTGTCAAAATTTTGTTTTCTATTAAGGATCTACTAATTCAGACAAAATGATCCTGGGGCCCCCCTCTGGAAATAAGAGTTAAATTTGTGTCTTTATGGCTAAAATGAGGGATAGTGGGGGGGTGGGGGGGGGGGGGGGGGGGGCTTGGCCATGAAGTTGATGGCTACACTTGGACAGGGCAGTTTATCATAGGTTGACTGCTGAGCACACCATAGAATTGCCCAGCCCAAAACTCCAACAGGGACTGAGCTGATTCAGGCCATGGCCAGACCCCAGGCTTCCTGTATAGACACTGCTCAAGGACTTCTATATTGCTAACTGGACTTTGCAGGTCTCTGGTTGCAAAATCATTGTTCTGCTCTGGTGTCCAGTTACACACACTGATGGTTTGCTGACTCTTGGCATTATTTGTACATCCTGGCAAGACGGTGAACCACAACATCTCGGTGACCTTCCACTGATCCCGGGATGCTACAGCACAGCTGACTCGGGGTCACTCACGTCACACAGGAAGGCTGCTCCTGTGACTCACACACCCCTATGCCAGGCTGGTGGTCTGGGAACTCACCTTCAATCTTGGTCTTGAAGTGAGGGTACTGGTTGAGGGTCTCCACCTGCTTCCTCCAGTCAAACTCGTTCCTCCAGTAGGACACCACTTTCTTCAGGTAGCTGGAGTTGAAGCCATAGTGGAAGCGGCTGCCCTCCAAAGGCGGGGATGCCCGGAACCCATCGATCCTGTGGTGTAAGTCCTGCAGAGGAGAATCGGGGGTGGGTGGGCAGAGGCCAGAGAGAGCTTGTGTCCACAACTCAGAGTGAACCCTGCAGCCGCAGATGGACTCCACGGAGGGGCCACACAGGGCCGTGTGTGTCGTCACTGGAGCCCTGAGAGGCTGTGGGTTCCCCTATGGACTCCAGATTGCCTTTATCTATCTTTGTTTTGGTGGAATTGGGAGGCTCAAGGAGGGGACAGAAGGCTTTGCACAGGTCACCCATGAGGTATTCTCCCTTTTAGCTCCATTCCGGTCATCTTTTCATTTCTTAGGAGTGTGACAAATGCTCACTCTTAATACACCAAACCTGGGTATAGGTCTGGAAATGGAAAACCTTGTGAAGAGTCACATAGCAAGTTTTTAGGCAAGATGCAAGCTCACTACCCTTTCTCTGCATGAGCAGTGAGGCTGTGGCCACGGATGACCCCTGCAGGAGCAATGAAGCCATGCTCCAGTCAAGCTTATACATAGGACTGAAACTCAAATGCCATACAATCATTTCATGACTTCAATTATTTTTTTTGTTTGTTTTTTTCCATGCCCCTTTAAAGACATGGGGCAATTAGAAAACAAGTTGTTGGCCTTGAGCCAGGGTTTGCGGTCGAATGATCCTAATTCAGATAAAAAGGACAGCTCAGGACACAGGTTCCAAATAGGTGGATCCCTTTAAAAGTTCAGCATTCCAGCTGAGGGGCGTGCCTGTTACCTCATGGAGTGGCTCAGGTGGCATTATTCCCAGGGGTTGTCATGTCTCTTGGGCTCCCCAAACAGGTTTGGAAACGTTAGACTCCTCCATCCAGGATAACCCTTAGGGCTCAGCTTCAGCTCTCAGCAGCAAGGAACCTCAGCTGCTTGCTCTGGGCTTCAGTTCCAGTACCTGGTCTCAATCCCTTCCTCCTGGGAACTTCTGTGACCTTTTGCTAGTGCCTGATGACATTAATCCCTCCTGGTGTGTGGGTCACTGTATCTTTGGATGTACTCTCTTTTCGTGGATGGATGCTAAATGCTGAGTTGTGTGGGGTGGGGTAGGGTAGGGGGGTGGGGTGGGGGGTGATCTCTGAGTTCCAAACTCACTGCAAAGCACCTGTCACAGCAGCTGCTTAAGGACCACAAGGTGAAGGGAAGGATGGGCTGGGTGTGGTCTGCCCTCTTGTGACCCTACTTGAGTCTGGCTCCTCCAGAAGACTTTCTTTTCCCCTCCCCCTACCCACTGGCCCCTCCTTTCTGCCTCCAAGTCTGTGTGCAATGGTACCCACTGCGGTACCATTCTCAGCTCCAGGGCTCACCTCTGAGAGCCGGTACAAGTGACAATGGGCAGGCTTGGTGGAAGGATACGAAAAGCCCAGAAGTGGCCAACACAGTAGGAGCCCACCCCAGGCTGCCCCTGTGGTCTCCATGTGACTGTATAGTCCTGAGCACTACTTCCCCCTGCAGTTGTGACTTCCCCATCCACCAGGGGCATCTGCTAGCTTTCTCCCTTACACTCTGCATCACCCACTAGTGGGGTGGGGCAGGGCAGTGGAAGCTTTCTTTGGTCTCGGATGCACATGGTGGTTCCACTGGCAGCCCTCCTGGGCCTGGTGTGGGGGAGGAATAGTAGCTGGAGAGATGGGGTTAGTGAGGAAGAAACACCTTTTAGGAACAAAATGCACCTGCCCTCAGGTCAGAGAGAAGAGTGAACAGATAAAACCTCCAGACAGGGCTGGGTGTTGGTGGCGCACGCCTTTAATCCCAGCACTCAGGAGGAAGA